AAACTAAAAACAGAAATTAAAACTTAGAAAGATGGAGGGAAGAGAGAAAGCTCAAGAGTTGTGGAGCTTGGTGTGATTTTACAATGCCATAGCTCCTCCTATTTATAGGAAAATGGGAGCAATTCTAAATTCATTAAATCCCTCCATTCATGAATTCAATATGTATTCCACTTGCATCAAACCAATTGCCAATTTGCTTCCATTACTTATTCCATAGTGTTGATGACTCCATTCTCCAAATTCTTCATCTTTCAATGCACAACCGTAACCCATCTCTTCATTGTTTCTTCTTTTCTTCAATTGTTGCTCCACTTCTACTTGCTTTTGTTATTCAATCTTTTCTTTTGGTTAAGTGTTGCACCTCTTCTCATCATCCTTCATTTCATTTGCTTAACTCACAATTTTAATAGTTCATGATTCCACATCTTCAAGCCACCATCATGTTTGTTGCTTCATCCACTCCATGCATGAATTGAATATGTCTTCCACTTGAACACTTGATCATGCACTTACATGCATTTCTCTTCTCTTTGGCAAGGTGGTGCATCTTGCAATCTTTTTAATAAATCTTGCCACCATTTGCCTACTAGCATCCAATAATCTTCTTCAACCTTAAGATAAAATAATGAAATCATCATCAATTATGTAATGGGTATGTAAGCAAGTGCAAAAGTGAAAAACAAACCTAATTAACTAAAATTGTAAGAAAATCAATTACTAACAAATATATTTAGGGATAATAAATGTGATAGTTTATGTGCTCATCAAATCCCAATCAAATAAGAAAAAGAGAAGAATTTTGAGGTGAAAAACTGGAAAGTAGTTTTTTGAATTGAAACAAACTTCCTTTAAACAAAAAGTCTTCCCAATCAAACTTTAATTGTTTTAAAATTAGAGTTCCAAACAAATCCTTGATTTGAAAACAATTATAAATTCCGCACAATCAAGATGCATGATTGAATGATGATATTACCTTAGAAATTGTTATTGAACCATGTGCAGAGCTTGGGATGGAGACATTTGCCATTGCTAGTCTGTCATAATAAGTTTACCATCTATGTTAATCTGTCTAAGGTCTAGGGAATGCCAATCACATAATCATATACTAACAATCTCCCTCTTTGGAATTTCCTAGACAAAACAATCATTACAACTCAAAGAAATTACAAGAGATTTAACAAAAGAAATTATATATATACTAAAACTGAATAAAAGATATTGTTCCTAGACTATTCATTCGCAATAGTGAAGTGGCGGTTTTGCCCTTTACTAAAAAATTTCCTTTTTGTTCCCTTTTTGCTCCTTCCCATTTGCATCTCTTTCAATTCGAACGTTTCGTTCGCTCTCAGCTTTCCAGTCCGTTTCGAACCAATTGGTTGGGCTAGTTGGGGGCAGCCATGGAAGATCAGACTTCACTGTTCTGCATGCGTTGGGGGTTGTCGATTTTCGTATGGGGAGGCACGCTGCTAATCCAGCCACCCTTTTGGTCTTTATCTCATCAGTTTTCCTCTCACATGTTGCGTTTGTGTGTTGCCGTTCCAGCTGCGCTTCATCCTTCTTCTCACTGTACAGGTTTAGCTCAAAGGATTTCTGGGTTTTGTGAAAAAAGGTTGGTTGACCCCAAAGTGTCACTCTTTTATCAAATTTTATTTCGCTTTTTTCTAATTTTGTTTTGATCATTTGAATCGTATTTTGTATTTGATGTTTGGCTTTGGTGGCAGATATGAAGGAGGCTGCGTCGGAGGCAGCCCCTCGAAATGACCGGTCGAATTGGAGACGTATGTTTTCTTTTCTTGTTTTCTGTTTTTTCTTTCCTTCAAAATTGAAGCCTCCACTTTGCTGAATAAAGGCTCCTCTTGGCTTTAGTGTTTCGTTTCGATGAATTTTGGGCTCTCACATGTGTCTGCGAAATTGCAAACCTTTCTTTTGTATTGGGGTTCCAATTTTCTAAAATAAGTTCTCCCTAAGGTGATAAGTTTTTCCTCTCTTTTTTAATTTTTACTCTGATGTCTGTGTCCAAAACAATATTTTTTTCATAGTACGTTTTGTGCAATGTACAGATATATTATAGGAATGAATCTGTCTTTTCAACAAACCGCAAGAGTTACATATTCTGTGAGTACTTTACTCCACCAGTTTTAGAATGAATTTATTTATTTTATAACATATATCCTTTTAAGCTCAACATTTAATTTTGAATTTTCCAATAAAAATGACACAATTTTTGGTACAGTTTTCTTCCAATAATTGGAGTAGGCAAGTAGCAAAGGATAAACTATCAAAATTGAAGGTAGGTTACGAGAACCCAAATTATTGTAAAATTTGATTTGTAAAGATTTAAAAGTATGTTAGATTGACAATGAAAAAGTGAAAGATCAATTACAGAGAAACGGGTGGCGCAAGTGGTCTTGATTGTTGCATGTCTTCCTTATGTGTGCGTATTCTGTCCGCAATTCTCTATTTCATGATTGATTTGATTATCAGTTTTTATCCTTTGGGTTTGTTGGGATGTTAATAAAGTTTTGTGCTTTTGCAAAATATTGGTTCATCCTTTCAATTTATATGATATGAATGTGTCCTATAGTATGCATATTTTAGATTTCTTATTTGATGAGTCATGAGCTGAAATGGGATGTGCCACAATTTGGTACATACATGCTGCCACTAAGCTATGGTTTGATTTGATATTTGTGGAAATTTTGCAACACATTTATAGATTCGTACATACTGACCTTTAAGAATGAAAATTTCCTTTTATGGCAACCCATAACAAATACCAGTGTAGCTTGCAAGGCTTGGATTGTGCATCAAGTATTGAAGAGCTTGGATTGTGCAGCAAGTACTGAAGTTGTTGTGCCACTGGAACACCAAGGAGTTTGTAAGTGAAAGAAGCTACCAACAAAGGGCTAATCTTTTGCAAGTGGTGACTCAGATTTTTGTTTTTTGTATGCTAAATGATTCTTTGGCACTTCTTACTTTGGCATTTAATTAACTACCATACATTTGGTTTGTGGTGATATTTGGTTGATTCTGTTTATTTGCTTTCTTGGGAAACAGAGGAAGAAGAAGGAAAAGTAAAAATGGTATCTAACATTCAAAAACTTTTATGCTCTTGTTCTCTGTTTTGGAAACACTTGCTTTGGTCTCCAACAAAAGCAATCAATTCCTTAATTGTTGTTAGGGTCACCCTAAATTGTGTAATGATCTATTGTTTTTAATATTTGCTTTTTTATTATTTTTTTCCTTTTATGTTCATGTGTTTTTATACAAATTTTGTGTAATATTTACTGATTTGGTGATGTCATGTTAGAGATGTTCAAAGTTTGAACACTACCTCCATTATCTGAATTCTAATTCTGAATTTTAATTCTTCTCTCTGTCTAAGAACACTACGTACCTCTATTATCTGGAATTGATTAAGATTCTTTTTTGCGTTTGTATTTTGGCTAATTTTTTCTTTGGGAGTATTATGAAAATCTATCAACATATCCACACCTTCTTCTACACCCTATTTCTATGCACATTCCTCTCAAAAACTTAAATGCTTTATGCTCCACCGTAGCCTTCGGTAGTTTTCTCTGCTTTCACTTGGTTCCATTTTAAGTTTTAACTTTTTTTTAAAAATCTTTATTGTAAATTTGTTACTTTAAATCCTTAATTTTAGGATTACTTATGGTTTATTTTTATACCTTATAATGAATTGAGATGTGGACAATGAATGTGTTTCTTCCTTCATAGTTGTGCTTAAAATGATATTTCTCTTGATATCTTTTCTTTGGTATATAGGTGACATGAAGTAGAAACAGGGAAGGAAATCTCATATGAAATGGGTATTTTATGTTGGAGGTTAGGTTTATTTTATGATTTTTTATGTTAGATTTCATACTGTATCAATTTGAAAGGTTTCCCTGAAGACTATATGAATTTCGTTTAAGTTTTTATGGTTATGAGTTATAACACATTAAATTTATTCTTTCTTATCAGTTCTTTCAACTTTAATTTGCTAATTTAGTGAGAGTAGTTGTCAAAGATGGCATCAAAGCTTAGCAAATCTATGCTTGATGGGGTTGGTATTACGATTTGATTAGTGATAGGACTTTTGGTTAAATCCCAAGCAGGGAATGCATTCTTTGCCATAGTTCCCTGACAGTAAGTTGATTAGGGTTCTATAACCTATAGGTGTCTATAGGTTGATATATTAAAGCTAATGAACTAATGAACCAAAAACTGATGCATAAAAGCATGCTCAGGGACCAATGCTGCTTTTCATATTTGATTTTCAAGTCTATTGGTGTGTCAAAATAGCTAGGTTTAATGTATCTTAGGAATGTTTCATTGGTCAAGTGTCAATAAAGTCTTTGTTTTTTGTTCTCAATTACTGTTTACACCATGCTTGAACCCGAAGTATAAGATGTGATGATAATTGAAATGCCTAGAGACCAATCCTGCTTCTAATATTTTATTTTCAACTGATTTGCTTAGGAAAAAAGGCATAATTTCATTGCTCACTATTTACACCATACTTGAACCTGAAGTATAAGATGTGATGATAATTGAAATGCCTAGAGACCAATCCTGCTTCTGATATTTTATTTTCAACTGATTTGCTTAGGAAAAAAGACATTTTATTTTCAACTGATATTTTATCTTAAAGGTTCCGTCTAATTTCTCAAAGTATTTTTGTCCCAATTCTAAATTGTGCTAGAAGTGCAGCCTGTGACCATGAAAACCATTGTAACAATCGACAAATTATTAAATTCCCCTTTTGATTTTTCTGATATTATGAAATTGCTTCCATCCTTTTTGAAGGCTAAATGATTTTGTTATAATATTTGCGTATGCTTTTGGAAGAGAGACTTTTGTCAACTACAATCTCCTGATTCCTAGATTTTGCCAAACCTTTAGTAAAACTTAATTATTGCAGTTAATTATATCTCTTATTTAATGTGTTTCATCCATTTTGTTATGTTTCTATTTTGAAAGATGCTTAGCCTATATTTTTGTTGTTGTTGTGGATTTTCAGTTTTTGCAAGATGTTAACCGTGTACGAGAGAGTCGAGAAGAGGCTGTGAGTAGAATGAGGTTCTTTGCAGGCTAGACAAGGTTGAAAATGGTTTTTTTTTTGTTCTTTTTCCTGTTTTCGTTCGAAACTTTTATTCACTTATTCTCCCTGAATTTTATGTTCGAAGTAGTTAAATTTTCGTCTTGAATAGTTTATTTGTATTTCTTGATTTGAATGAAAGTTTGGTATTTCATCCTTCTTTTTGGGTTTCTTTAATTTCATATTGTCTTCGTATTTTCCTTTTCGTAGTAAACTCTTATATCACAATTCCTGCATATATCATGATTTCAGTTTTGATTGCTGAGGTTTATTAAAATATTGATCATATTTTAATAAACATGACAAGCAACATATAAAACATGTTATTAGTCATTATTTTGTAACTTAAACTTGCTACATATTTTCACAACTTTGTAGACATTTTAGACGGATTTAAAATCCGCAGCATTGCGCGGGCATCTTTGCTAGTCCTACTCTGAAGCTCTTAATCATGCACAACAGGAACAACAAAACCATAGAAGCATGTGGGAGAAGAAAAGTAATTTGAAAGCAAAATTACAATATGACTCCCCTTTAATTCCACAACACAATATCTCCTCCCTTTTATCACAATTTCACACAATCATTTATCCCCCTTTTTGTCAAGAAATCCAAAAACCAATGAAGATACACAAGGGAGAAAATAAAAGATGAAATATGTCAAAAGCGAAAACGAAAGGGATGATGACATCAAGCAAGGATAGGGAAATGTAAGAAAATGATTATCAACAAAAATCAGAGAGATTAACCAGGATGCCCTCGAGAGTATTTGTCATGTCTTGACTAAGAAAGAGAATAAGATTGAGAAGCTCTATGAATCTTGCAGATAGGTCAACATATACTCTTTTTCATGTGAAATTCCATTGAGGAATGTAGTTTTTACCCCTATTTGGTGAAACTTGAATCATGGAGCGTGGGACCATATGTCATAGGCAAGATGCATTCAACATCTGCAAGAACAATATACCTCACTTGGCTTTTAGTCTTCATTTTTGTCATTCACATTCAAATAATATCATAAAGGATGGTCTTGTGGAATTTGCTTCAGTGAGGATACAAGGACTTGAAGGAGGAAGAAAGTATATGTGAGGTCCAAGAAGAAACAAAACCTAGTTGCACACTTAAAAACAAGGGACATCAAACAACATTGTGTTAAAAACAAATAGTTTTTCAATTATTTATTTATTATTTTATTTTAAAACCAATGACTAAAAAAAACTAGAACTGAAGGATAACACAGCAAGGAAACACACAATATCAAGAACAACACGAGAACATCACCTTGTGCAATTGAAAAATAACTTTCCCCCTGAAGATATGTCAATGATGAACACAATGATAGCACCCAAGAAAAAGAAGATGAAAAATAAGTGGTATAAACTAAAAGAAGAAAATAAAAGAAACATAATTAAACACCAATAACTATGCCAACAATATATTAAGACTCCCCTTTCAAACATGCCAAAAATATTGTTCATGCCAAACACGATGTGTGAGGATAGCCAAGGAGAGCCAATACCAATAACTAGCTGGAAGCATTTGAACCAAAGCCTTTCAGGATCTAAGGCACAACAAAGATTTAGTCAAACACAAGGATTATAAAATGAAAAATCAAATGTATTTGTGAGAAATAAAGTCCATCAAATGAGCAAATATCAAAGCCCAATCTCGTATTATGTGAATAAGCTTGCTTAATAACAAAGAAAAAGTCCAATCAAGAACAAGCCAAGACATAGGATAAACACACATACATAGTGCATACGAAGCTCACCAATTTCACTCTTTTTTAAATAAATAAAAATGCTAACTTTATCAAGCTTTCTACAAGACCCATGTAACGGGTGTTAAATCAATGTGCTCAAGCTAGTTAACTTTAAGACAATGAGTGTAAAAGCACCCATAGGATGTACTAACCCAAGTCAAGTATGCTACAAAGAAGAGCAATGTGTACAAGATCAAAGCTTTTTGACGTGAACGATGTGGGTTAGACATGAGGCCCAATTACTTGGCAAGGATCAAGCACGTATTTTACTTTACTTTTTAATTAAAGAGATATTATGAATTTATAATGAGCTCAATAGCAAAAAGTACAATGCAAATCTAGTATCCATACAACGGCAAAGTGAGGATTCAAGATTATAGTATATATACACCATATGCGAGACATGGGATTTGATACAAAGAGCATTTAGTTGACATTATAAATTCTATATATACTAAAACCCAATGCAACTAAACACTGTAGCTAAGCACAGTGAAATGACGTAAGTGCCCTCTCTTTTTACGGTTTTGCAAACTTATTTTTTCCACCAGCACATTGAAATCACGGTTGTACCCCTGATTAATTAGTTTCAACCTTTCCCGTTTTGCCCCCCTCTCCTTCAGATCGAACTATGCTTCTGTTTCTTCCTCAGAGGCGCCTGGTTCAATCTCAACCAGCTGGTTCGTCAGATTCAAGGGCAGAGATGGAAGAGATGGGTTGGTTTTTTGGATGTCTGCATCTGGAGGCTTCGATATTTTTATAGAGCGTCATTGTTTTCTTCGTCAATCACCGACTTCCTTGCCTTCTTCTCCATCAGCTTCAGTGTTCACCGACTTCCTTGCCTTCTTCTTCTCCATCAGTTTCGGTTTCCATTCGTTATCCCCGTCTGCTACTCGCCTGGCCTTAGCCTCTGTTCTTTCATCCGTGCCCCTGTTCTGTGGTTAGTTCTTCAATCTTAACTTCTATTGAATTTGGTTTTCATTCATTGTGTTTTTTCTTTTTTATTGTTGTAGTTTTTGTCAATTTATGAGTTAATAATCATGGTATTTGGGTTTATCAATTATGTTGTTTGATAATTTTTTTTTATTTTTAAAAAGAAGAGTTGTCTAACCCTAAACCCTCTAATATCTGAGTATGTTGTTAAATCTTTTGGGTGTTTTGTTGAGGTTAATTTTAGGCTAGAGTAGTGGATTGAAATTTGGAATCAGTTTTTTAGGCTAGAGCAATGGATTGAATTTGTCAGTTTTTTTGTTTTGTCTGATCTCTTTGCACAATGTGATTGTTAGTTATAGTGTTAGATATGGAATTGATTTTTAGGTTCTGACTTCTGATAGCATTACAGTATTACTATAGGCATCTATAGTATGACATTGATATCTTCTTGGTTGAATTACTTGGTATTTACTGATGAGAAGCTGATGTGGTCTGCGGCAGGGGGTTCAGATTCTTCTTTTCCCTATTTGCCCAGCCATTCGTACTCTTCTGTTGCAAACGTTTCATCGTTTCTACAGCAAAACACCACCAATTCAATAATTGGAAATTTTGAATTAGAGATTTGTAAGCAGGGATATCAAGAGAGAGAGAGAGAGAGAGAGAGAGAAAGTAAAGGTAGGAAACCACTATAAAGTAGAGATTAAATCAAGTTTGTAGTAGTTTCTGGTTAGAAACCTCCCAGTTGTATAGAAAAAGAACGAAAACTAATACTTCAGAGGTGCCAGTGAAGTTTAATAATTACACAAATTAAAACAGATTAGCCAATTGTTGTGTTTTACAAAGATAAGACCGAAGTCTTTTACAATTGTTAAGTTTTCGTTTAACTGAACAATAAATTGGACATTCGATTCAAATATAATTCAATCGTTTCTTTATTTCGCAGCTTGAATACACCAAAAAGCAAGGGACTAGACATTTGGATTCTGCTGTCATTTTCGAGGTATAAAAACTCCTCTGATTCATTGTTTTTTTAAATTAAGCATTATTAGTCATGTTAGTCAATTGTTTTTAATCATTTTGTAAGATTTTATATTTTACTTTCATCGATTGTACTTGCATACAAATTATTTAGAAGTAATCTTTATTCTGTTGATTGATACAAATTGAATATGCTTTGATGCTAAATTTTTTCCCCTCTTTTAAATATTTTCCCCTTGATTTTCTCATTGAATATTATATCTAAATTATTAATCTGATGAGCTTGGTTGATTATAAATTTTGAATTAGATGTCTCAATTATACATATCGATTTAATAAGGTTTGATATTAGTATATGTATACTGTTTATAATCATGATACATATCGTTGCTTTGTAATCATGATACAGTGATATAAAACAATTTCTAAGTGTGTACTTTCTTTATAATATGTATGCATGTATGTAGATACACACACATATACAGGGGGCTTCTCCAATGTGAACTCTAAGATGCGAACTCGTTGCGAACTTTTGTTTTTAACCGTTGGAAGAAGAGCGAAAAGAAAGAAAATAAATCCACACAAGCCATCCAACGGTTAAAAATAAAAGTTCGCAACGAGTTCGCATCTTAGAGTTCGCATTGGAGAAGGCCCCCACATATACATATGTATGTATTATTTTATGTTTTTGTTTCTCCCCATTATACCAATTTATATACAAGTTCTTTACCTATTCAATTTATATACAATTTACTAAATTCCTAATGTTTCAAATTACTTAAATTTTATCTATAGATTTTAATTGATGTATAAAGTTAAATACTTTTGCTTTATCAATTTGATTATTTGGATTGAAAACTATTAACAAAAATTGTTTTGTTTTAAATAATATATTTTCAAGTTTTTATATTCCATATTTTAATAAATTATCTATGAATTATATTGTTTTCATGGATTCGATCATATTGAAAATAGTATTAAAGAATTTTATTTCAATTAAGATGTACATGTATATGTGTTAAATGAGTGAATTAGTTTTTTGCAACTTTTAATTTATATTTGAGTTCTTTTTGGTAATAATTAAAAAATCCCTTTTTGAAGACCTAAACTCTAAACTTTAATAATTGCCCAGTTGTATAAAAAACAAAGAAAATGAATGTAAACTAATACCTTACAGGTAGCAGTCAAGTTTAATAATTATACAAATTAAAACAAATTAGCCATCCATAGTATTTTAGAAAGATAAGACTAAAATCTTTTACAATTGTTAAGTTTTTGTTGAACTGGACAATAAACTGGACATCCGATCCAAATATAATTCAATCATTTCTTTATTTCACAGCTTGGATACACTAAAAAGCAAGGGACTAGACATTTGGATTCTGCTGTCATTTTTGAGGTATAAAAACTCCTCCAATTCATTTCTTTTTAAAATTAACCATTATTAATCATCTTAGTCACTTGATTTTAATCATTTTGAAAGATTTTATATTTTATTTTCATCGATTGTGCTTGCATACAAGTTATTTAGAAGTAATCTTTATTCTGTTGATTGATACACGTTGAATATGCTTTGATGCTAAAATTTTTCCCCTCTTTAAAATATTTTCCCCTTGATGTTCTCATTAAACATTTTATCTAAATCATTAATCTGGTAAGCTTGGTTGATTATAAATTTTGAGTTGAATGTCTCAATTATATATATCGATTTGAGTTCTTTTTACTAATTCTTCTTAAAGACCTAGAGCCTAAACCTTAACAATTGCTTTTGACTAAACTTTTCTATTAACAGACAAAACCAAATTTGTATTCTTATTTTACATACTTTGTAGACCCATTTTTCTACTGTGTATAAAAGAAAAAGAGATTATTGTGTATAAAAGAGAGAGAAAGAGAAGACCACAACATAGATATTAGTTAGAAATTTGAAAACGTTTCATACAATTTGAAACAATTTATTCATTTATAAAAAATATAAAACAAATTTATTTTTTGGAAATCTTTATGGGCAAATTACTAATTTTTGATAACCATTTTTTTGGGATTTTTTCCCCCTTTTACTCAACATATATGAATTACACAATGATATACCTCTTTGTTAACAAATATTAATTCTAGAATAATACACGTTTAACATCAAGTTTGCATATATGCGTATAAAATTGTTTATTTTTAAGAAAACCCTTTTTCTTAATCTTCCACATTTTAATAGATTTATTATTTGCTTATGTTAGTTTGTTATTACAAATGTCAATCATTTTTCTCATAGTTTTTCTAAACATAGATACTTTTGTATATCTACAACAACAATCATTCATTCTAATCTATATAATGTCTTTATATAATATTCCGATTTATCATCTTTTTTTTTCTTAATGCTTATTTATTTAATTCATGCTATTCTCCTTTTTGTTCAAATACAAAACCAAAATCATTTTTATCAAACAATTATCAAAAGTTTCTATTTTTCTTTATTGTTTTAACTTAATTATGTGTTTCTACTTATGTATTTTAGGTTGTTATCATTCAGCTTTTGCATACGTGTTGCTACAAGTGGTTAATAATTTCTCTTATTACAGGTCAGTATTTTCTAACTTTTTAAAAAACCTGTGCATAACATTTATAACTAATTGATTAGCAAATATTATATAATTTGAAGATTCTCATTTATATATAATTCTATAATCATATTTCTACATTTATTTTGCATTCTTAGAATTTAAATGTTATTAATAATGTGAAATATTACTTATATATACATTTTTTTTTTCCTAGACATCAATCTGTTTTCGGGAAATTGAAATCTTCGTTGATGATGTCGAAGAGAACTAGAAATACGACGAGAAAACAAATCATGCAACAACCTCATAATCTCATCATTTCAAATGATATACAAGTCCCAAATAAAAATGTTTATCATATTGATGATAAACATCCAAGCGAGAATTCCTATCAACAACCATCAAAACATTTCTCAAGTTGATAACAAAAAACAAAAATGTGTTGGAAATACATTATCTATCAATGTGAATACAGTTGAAACAACAACAGATGAAATTGAGTTTCATCATTTTCATCAAATGCGTCAAGGTCAAGCGATCTTTCAAAGAAACAGGCAAGGTGGGTGTTTCCCTTTGCTCTAAATTTTTCTGCTAAACTCGAACTACATTGTTCTATTACTAATAACCTACATTTATGTTTTCGATTCTCTCCATTCTACATTTTTCTCCTCTATAGGAATAATCCAAGAATATGCGGATTTTGGAGAGAAGAATCATAAGTGCATTTATTGTGGTGCACTTTTTTGGTTGAAAGAATCCATTAAACAAAAATCAAAAAACAATGAGCCTCTCTTTACTCTTTGTTGCCAACAAGGAAAAATTAAACTTCAAAGTCCAAAACCAACACCCCATTTTTTAGAAAATTTGCTTGATCCTAATAAAGGGCAAAAAAGTGTATTATTTAGAGAAAATATCAGGGTTTACAATTCTATGTTTGCATTTACTTCAATGGGAGCCAAAATTGATAAATCAATAAACAATGGATCAAGCCCTTATATTTTCAAAATCAGTGGTCAAGTTCATCATTTAATGGGTTCTTTACTACCTCCTGAAGGTCAATGTCCTAAATTTGCCCAGCTATATGTTGCGTAGATACAGCTGCACCAAAATGGATTCAGTTGCATCCTCAACTTGTGATACTCGCAAGTGCACGAGCCGTTTGGTAGTATAGCATATGTAAGTGCGAGGTCGATCCCACGAGGATTGGTGATTGAATGATCCAATTCATTTTCCCTATACAAAACAGAAACAAAAATAAAGACCATGAAGGAAGGAAAAAAGAAAATAAGAAAGTAACTCAAGCAAATAAGTTCCCAAGTTCAATTAGATTAATGGATTGATTCTAGCTAAAGTATGGTTAAGCCATGGTGTGTGGTCATAACCTTGTGTTCCTAATTCCCTAATTTGATCATTTGTTGTCTAACCTAAAATTAAGCATTAGGAACCCATTAAGCATAGAAGAACAATTTAAACAACCAAGCATGTATCTAATCCCTGTTGTCGAATGTCCATACATACTCATCCTATTCATAGTTCAATTCGAATTAAAGCATAGTGTATACTCTTAATTCAAACCAAGATAGCTAACATGCAAGCCTAAAGGGTGATCAATCATTCAAACTAGCATATTAACTTATAAGAATAATGAATAAGAACATGAACCATAATTGAAACTTGGAAACTAAT